TTTATTGCAAGAAATGTCACAACATATCATATTCATCAATCACAATACTTTCTTAATCAAGTGGGCAACAAAAAATAAATTGAAAACTCTCTATCCTTACCAAGCTACTCGCAACGCCCGTTGACTTCAAATTAGCACTGTCATGATATCATCAAATATATTGTCATATACGACGTATAGACTTACATTGTAGAAGATCATATACAAAGATAGCGAACAATAGTTATAAAATGTGAATTCTCAGGTGATCCCACCGCTTTAGGGCTTATTTGGTAATGACTGCAATGGCTGAAACTGCTGAAGTGGCTGAAATTGCTGAAATTGCCAAAATTGCTGAAGTGAAAGTGTTTGGTAATATCTTGGTTGAAGTGGCAGATTAGATGTATATTTACCAAACAGGGTATATGTTTCTTTATATTTGAAATATATGTATGTTAGTATTGGTAGGGAGATCTGTTTACTGATGTGTGTAAATTAATGTAAAAAATCACAGTTTTTTATTATGTATATTAAAAAGCTTACATGTAAAATAAATAAATAAAAACAGTACATAAATTGAACATAATCGTTAACTGGGATTTGCTAAAATTTTACTAATCAAAATATTCAGTAAACATGATACAACTGGAGCACTAAATGAAAAATATTCTTTACATCATTAATACTCCGTATGAAATACACGACAACAACAATAATATGAAAGGAAGGAAAATACTGGAATGACAACACACCAAATGCGAAGTGATCTAGGAACAAAAAGACAGACAGCTGCAAACGAAGAACAGAATTAGGATGATGTATTGGAGAAGGGATAAAAATGTCTTTTAAAATGGTTAATGGTAGAATAATAGAATTTAGCCAGAAAAGTAACCCTGGGCTACTTTTTGAGCTTTTAAGAATTATGAGCCAAATCAGCCAAAACTAGAGGTGTTTGGTGATTTTCTCCTGCATTCAGGCTTATCAACCCAAAAATGGGACTCCAAACGGCCACTTAGTAATCATGGACAAATATTTAGAAAAGTTATCCACAAACTTCTTTTTCATGCAACATCCACAATAAATTTTTGAAATTAGTGAGAAAATAATGAATATATCTTGTGTATGAAATTTCATTTTTCATTCAAGATAAGAGTCTTCAATTTATTAGCATCACCATGCATATTAGAAGTCTCATCATATCCTTGACCTCTTGAACAAAACATAATCCATCACAAAAATATCATCAATGCCAGTATTCAAATAATGATTGTGTCAACAACATTTCTAACTGTACTCAATCATTCCATCACAATTCCATAATCGTGTAAATGTCTTATAACAATTTTCATGTGCTCTTTTATGTGATTATTACCTCATTTAATAGTTACACGAAGTATTCTTTTATCTAGATAGTGGGACACTATTTTTATCCTGAGTACTAATCCTAAAGCTCAAGATTAGAAGAGTCTAGGTGATAGTTTTGTAATAACGGAAGGATTTAGGATTTAAGGCTTGTTTTTTGTGATTTTTTTTTACTTTTGTTCATTTTGAGGCATTAAACAAATTCAAAGTGATTTTACATAATTCTATTTAATTTTTCTATTATTAGAAAGACAAGAAATTACATCAATATAACTACAATTTTAGTTTTACATATGATTCATAAAATTTAACAATTACATTTTTGCACAAAATATAAACTAATTTTTTAGTATACTTGTGAATTCACAATTTAAATTACTTTTATGTACATGTTTGATCCTTCCCTTAGTTGATTCATTTCTTGTTTAATACTCCGTACTCCGTATAATTTTTAACAAATTAAAAACAGCGTTTGGTAAAAAATATATCTAACAAAGTGAAATTTAATTAAATATGATATTATAATGTTTTTGTCCAATGAATATTTTACTATTTATAATTGATTTTACAATTTTTTCTCAATGTGATTAGGAGTTCCTATATTATACAGCCGGATGTATATACAACCAGGTTTTTTTTTTTAAATTTGTTTGGCCTATTTCATACGGAGTACTTTGTTCTTCCAAAACTTCTTCTACTGCCCATCCAATGACGCCTTTCTCTACAGTCTGTCGGTGCCTAAATCTCTCGCCCCAGCCACCGACTTTATGTTGCAGCTGCTGCGCTTGCTTGTGGAGTGCGAAAATGATATGCGCTTGTGGATAATTTTTCATCTTTCTCTGAACATGCGTCCAGCTACAGCGGCAGATTGACTAAGGCTATGTTTGGCACACAAAAGGCTCTAGCTTCTAGCTTCTGTATTCTTTAAAAAGACCTTAAAAGACGCTAGTTGTATGTTTGGCGTGACATTTTTTAAGAGCTTTTCAAAAATTAAAAAATCTTTTTTGAGATGCTACCGGGTGTAGCATCTGAGAAAAGCTCGTGACTTTTAGTATTAATTAGTCCTAACAACTTGTATACCAAACCGAACTAAATCAAACAGTTAGCTTTTTACCAAACAGCTATCACCATTTCTTTTTAAGATCTTTTTAGTCATTAAAAGATAACAGTTACTAAAAACCTCGTAAAAGTATCTTTTTGGCTAGGTGTGCCAAACATACCCTAAAGCTAGAAAGCTTTTTAATTCTCAGCTCCTTCAATTTCTTATTCTAATTCTCATAACAAAAAAGTTCTAAAACTCGAATGTGGTCCAAATACAAAAGCATACCAAGTTACTAATATAATACTCCGTATATTCTTTTTATTACTTTTTATTATGAATCTAACATTGATCATCCCAATATCTGATTCATATCTTTTAATTTACACTTTTTTCTTATTTTTTCTTTTACAAAATTTTTTTAAATTGTATTTACGATACATCTTGTGAATTTCAATATGCGAATTCAATGTGATATTACACTTTTGAAGCATTTATTGATTTAAAAATCGCAAACTCTGTTATTCGAGTATCAAGACATTTTCATTGAGCATCAAACTATCTTTATTAAAATACGAACTCTACAATTGAGTATACAAAATTTCAAAACTTGATATCTTAGCAAGACATTTTCATTAAATATCATATTTTCTCTTTTTGAGTATCATTATGATGTGTATTGAGTATTATAAGTCCCAAATGAGCAATAGTGTACTTTTATTGAGCATCCGACCTATTTTATTGAGTATTAGGAGGCTGACAATGAGTATTATGATATTTGCTTCATATATCCTAATTCAATTTTTATTTTATTTTTGCTTTTGTAAAAACTTATTAAATTGTATCTATAATACACTCCTATAAATTTCAATATGTGAATTTAATGTAATAAGATACTTTTGAAATATGCATTGATATGACATTTTAAAATGAGCATAACATCAGTACCGAATGAGCATACGTAACTTACAAAATGTTCATTGATATGAAAATTGTAAGGTTTGTTAATTTAACATGATGACATTTTCATTGAGCATCAAACCTCCTATATTGAGATGAAAATCATGATTTCTGTTAAATGAGCAATAATGAATTTTTAATGTGCATCACACATATTATATTGAGTATTAGGAGTCTAATATTGAGCATCATGCATGATCCCTGCTTCATAAATTCTAATTCACTTTATTTTTGTTATTTCTTCTTTTATAAAAAATTATTCAATTATATTTGTGATCAACTCCTATCAATTTCAATATGCATATATAATGTAATTTAATACTTTTTGAAACATGCATTATATAACATTCTAAAATGAGCATAACATTAGTATCAAATGAACATACATAACTTACAAAATGAGCATTAATATGAAATCTGTAAGTTTTGTTAGTTAAGTATCGAGACATTTTTAGTGAGCATCAAACCCCGGCTATTGAGTGTTAATTAGAATCGTGCGATTGAGTATCATGATTTGTGCTCTCGTGTCTATAATCACAACAAAAAAACGACGACATTTTAATAATTTAAACGAAACTCGCGATTTTTGCTAAATGAGCAGTATTGCACTTTTAGTGAGCATTAGACTTATTTTGTTGAGTATTAGCAGCCTAACAATAAGCATCTTAATTGATACTTGCTTCATACTATCTATTTTTTAATTCACTTTTTTTCTTTTTATTTCTTCTTTTATAAAAACCTACGGAGTATTAAACTCTATCTATTGAACATATACTCAATTCTTATGAATTTCAATATGCAAATCTAATGTAATATACTAATATGATACTTTTGAAATATGCATTGATATAAAATTTTAAAAATGAGCGTAACATCAATATCAAATGAGCATACGTAATTTACAAAATTAGTATTATAACAATATCAAATGAGCATACGTAATTTACAAAATGAGTATTATAACAATATCAAATAAGCATACATACTTATGAAATGAGCATCGAAAAATTCAGAAGGCTCATTTAAAATCTCTAGTATGCTCGAATATTAAATGAGAATATATAACTTATGAAATGAGCAAAAGAAAATATAAATTGAGCATTACGCCAATATCAAATGAGTATTACACCAATATCAAATAAACATTACGCCAATACGAAATGAACAGTGAAAAATTTAAAAAGTTCATTTGAAATTTCTAGTATGCTCAAATATCAATTTGTGTATGTTCATCTCAAGATAACATAAAGAAACATCAATTCCTTATTTCAGACTAACCAATTTTATTTTGCTTATTTTCAAATAAAGTTAGAGGAGCAGAGACAAAAGGCATATATAAAAATAGAAAACTTAATCAGAAAAAGAAAAAGAAAAGTTAAAGTTAGAAAATTTGAAGTTCAAAATTATAGGAAAAGAGAAGAGTTACAAAAAAGTTAAAGTTAGAGGAATTGAAGTTCAAAATTAAAAGATAAGAAAAAAGAGAGAAAATAGAAGCAAAAATAAAAGAAAGTAAAAAACGAGAAGCAACGAAAGAAGATAAAGAAGCGACGGCTTTGCTCCTTCACAACCGGGTGTACGGTATATTTTGCGTGTGATTAGTTGGTAACGTGCGTGAGATAATATCTACTCCGGATGAATATTTAACTTTACAAGTTTGTCCGGATGAATATTTTTGTATACGTCATTGCTCATTTGACCTTTTCAGTTTTCACCATAAAATAAAGACAAAAAGAACCTTTCCCAACACAACCCCTAGTGAGACCCATTCAAATCAACCAAAGGACCAGGCATATTAAAATGTAAATTGTTCAGGATATAAAATGTTTACAACACTAACTTTTGATTTAAGAAAGATGAAAATCAAACATAAGCCAAAAGCAGAACAGTAACTAAAGTACACTATCAGAATAATTAAAAGATGATTAACCACAGGCAAATGATTCAGATGAAATCAGGGCACACCGGTCCTTTAGATAACCCGAGCCTCACTTCCATGCCATGATGCAGGTTAGATGGACGAACACTCTCAGATTCCTTTGGATCTGGCATATAAACAACAACAACAACAACAAACATATTTAGGTTACGAAAAATGGCTGCACACATGGAAAAACAACCCACATGCTTCAGGTCTGACAAAAGCACACTGCTAAATTTAGTTGGGGAATGGTCTTCTGGCCTATTAGTTTGCTTTCGTAAGAATGTGGCCAGTTCCCCAAGCAATTGTTTTTCGAGCAAAATATGATGTTTCCCATTTCCCGATTCCTCATAATTTTAAAGTTTCCATGCAACATAGGCACACACATATGGATATATTGTTTGAGGTGGGTGATGTAATTCCGTTTTATAATTTTTCACAGAACACCTAAATTTACCATCTACCCCCTAACTAGTGAGATTTGTACAACAAATCAAAAACTGTAGGAGCTTGGAAGTTATATAAGCTCATGATAAACCAACATTCAGTCTCAGAGGGAAATTGATAAAAAGAAATTTGAGGGAGAGGTTCAAGTCATAGTCAATATATTGAACAAAAATGATGTTTGTATCTACTCTTATACCCATTTTGTACCTACTCTTATACCCACTTTTGTACTCACTCATGTTTGTGAAGGTTTTTTTTTGCTTGTGAATTCCTTCACAGATGTCTGTGAATTCCTTCATAGACAAAATACGACATATTTTGTCTATGAACCGCATTCACAAACAAAAAATAGCATTCACAGAGGTGGGTATAAGGGGTGGGTACAACAAGCATTATCCTATATTGAATCTGTTGATACATTATACCATCCGTAGACATGACTATTTATTTACAGCCTGAGCATTGTTCTAAAAAGAGCTTGATATTTTCACAAAACCAAACACTTAGTTCTGTTTGGAACCCGGAAAATAGACAAAATACTAGGGAGAACACCAGAAAGGCAAACAGAGATTAAACGGGAAAGGAATAAATATTGGGGGAAATGAAGGATATACTCAAGGAGCTCAAAGTTTGTTTTTTATTTAATTTGTTTGTTTCTATTATAAATAAATATATTTAATCTATATATATACATATATAAATATATATATATATATATATATATATATATATCTGTGTGTGTGAGGGAAATATAAAAAAATGGAAATTTTCATTTTCCACGGTAAAGTAAACATAAGAAATTAAGTTTCGTTAACTTTTTCAGTGATCCAAATGTACCCTGGAAAATGTTGAAATTAGTTGGGTTTCCACTTTCCAGGAAATGCAGTTGGATGTAGACCTGTACAAAACCGGGCCGGCCCGCCCAGCCCGCCCGCACAAATTAGCGGGCTTGAGCTGTTGAGCATATATATTTACCCACCGGCCCGGCCCGGGTCCGGCCCGCAATATCATATGGGCGGACTTGGGTTACGGTGTAGGCCCGTTCGGGCCGATAAGCCCGGCCCGCTACATTTAGTATATATACATATATATTTTTATATATACTAACTTATGTATTTATTTACATCTACACATGTATATTTGTATATTTACTAATTTATCTGTATACACATTTATAGTTTATTATGCTTAAATTTAAGTTTTTAATTCTTAACAAATAGTCCAACCAATATAATATCTATTTGTGTACTTAACGATAATACTTTGTGCATGAATTTTAAATTTTAGATATAGTTTCTTATTATTATTTTTGTGTAAATATTTTTTGTGTATGTGATGAAAGGCCTATATACATTATAAGCGTATTAGCAATTTTTTAAATGTTGTAATATTATTTATAAAGTATTAAATAAATTATATAATTTTGAAAAATTTAAAGTCTTCCCGGGCCCTGCGGCCCGGTGGACTACCCGGCCCGCTCTTACGGGTGGGTATGGACATGCGGTTAGGCCCGTTTTTGCGAGCCGGGCCGGGCCCGCCCACACACGATGGGCAGAAAATTATGAAAAGCCCGGCCCGAGCCCGAGCCCGGCCCGAACCTGCTTTTGTGCAGGTCTAGTTGGATGCAAATCATACAAATCAAATCTCTAACTTAAACTAATCAATTGCAGAAGATTGTAGCATAATTATCTCAAGGCCTTATTAAATAGATCACAACTGTGAAATATCTAATGAATGACAAATAGTATTTGTTATTAAAGTGAAATTTTCTCATTACCATTCAGGTAGTCCTCAAAACCGAAGTCTTCCAGAGTTCCTGTCATGGCTTCTAAACCCAACATGGAAGAGGGTATTGCTCCAACAGGCCTCTGAAACCTGCATGCATTAAAAATTAAACAGTCTGCAGGTATCTATTGTCATGTACAAATTAGATCATTTAGGTTCATAAATACACCAGAAGAGGACATTCATACACGTCAGGCTTATTAGGGGCGCACATCAGGGTAAACTAAATAGGTTTAATTTTTTCTGCCCTCTTAAGACATAATGCTTCAAACCATGAAACCATCTCAACATAATGCTTCAAACATAAATAGTAATAACAGTAAACTAGTGAGCGGTGATAAACAAATACCAACCCAGGTGTGTAAGCAAATCCCACACATGACATCACATTTTCAGATAGACATAAATAGATAAAGGCTGTGTTTGGCTTGTTAGACTTGTTGGCAAAATAAGCAGCTTCGGAAATACTTAATTTGCTGAAATGCTTTTGCTTTCAGAAAAAACAGACTAATGAAATCTCAACCAAATAACCATTTCCAAACAGGCCCAATGACTCCTACATACTTGTTTCAAATGAGAAAAAACACAATATTAAAAAAAGTATGTAACCCAATCCAACAGAAGAACCATCAAGCTGGGCGGGGGATTACAAATTTCAGCCCTGTGGCCCCTGTGATTCAAAAGGCAACTAAGTATCATGTGTTGAACATTATTACCCCCTCACCACCTTATCAAAGACACACTTCCTTCCTTAAAAAGAAATGATGAGTGAGACAACCCAAAAAGGAAAGTGGAAGTTTATTTTTAGATGGATGATGTGTTGATTAATTATTACCTAGCAAGAATCCATTAGCCTATAAACCTAAATGTCCATCAATGAAATTAAGAAGAATCGCATTCACTATTCAAAACCAACTGGATCTGCTAAACAGCAGGCCAGCAGCCAGATTTCTTCAACCAGATAATCCTCAAAGCATGATGTTCCCAACAATTGGCTATATTCACTTAAGCCAAAACATCCAGGAATACCCCGTACCCCTAATCAGCACTTAATTAAATATAATAAAACAATATCTAAAACTGAAAAGGAAAATATAATTTACAGCATCCCGGAAAGAAATATTTCATTTAGATGCTCAAATAATGAAGATAGTAGAAAGCCAGTAGCAAACAGTAAGAAACTAGTCCAACAGCGCGAAAAAGCACACAACAAAAGCAAAAAAAAGTAATCGATAAAAAAAATGAGGTCACAGGTTTAATTCTACATAATTCAGACCTGGAGAGGATCCTGCGCTCCAAATCCATCCTCGTGGGCAAAGCGAAGCCGTAAGTGTTGGCAAGGACCGTCCTCTTCATCTTCTCCTGGCTCGCCTTACTCTACTCCAAACGCGTGCGCACACAAAAAGAATGAGAGGAATGTAATCATGAAGGAACAGAAGCGGATGAGAATGATTATACCTCTTCATATGCGGATTCGAGAGGATGGGACCCGACAAGGTCGCTCTTAACTCCATGAAGTCCAAATCGGAGTGCGTCGCTTTTCACTCCACCGATTTCGTGCGGGATAGTCTTCGATGCATCCATTGACCTTTATTGCTTTCTCTTCGCAACTGATCTTCTCTTCTTCTGCTCTGTACGTCTGGTAGATTGATCGAATTTCCGCCCCACTGAAAGCTTTGTAAGCAAGAAAGCAGACAGGGAGAGATCGAGATGGGCCAATAGAGGAGTCTACAGTTGTTGGACTTCATGCCTTTAGCCTTTAGGCATCCATAATTATGGGGTTAGGAATATTTTGAATTAGTTTCACTTTTGGTCCTATAAATTTTATGTTAATTCTACATTTAGTCCACTGTTTTTACCATTAGTATAAGGTTTTGGTCCTTCATCCCGTCTTATACTTTATTCATTTTTTGTACTTGACTAATGTCTTTTGACCACCAAAAACATTGACGGAAGGATCATATATCGGCGAAAATACAATAGTCACTTACCAAAAGTGGTTACAACCAAACAAGTACATGAATTGTGGAATTTGTGTGATACTTGTAAGCTCAAAAGTGGAATTTATTCAAACTAGTGTTTTACCCAGGCGTTACCCCGGACGGATTTGTTATTATGTTTGAATATTTTGTAATATATATATATATACTAGACGATATACCCGTGAGATGCACGGGCCACATGTATATCTACAAACATAATATAGTTTGTTTAAATTTATTATCATGGTATATAATGTGTATTATTTTATATAAAAAGCGGATCGGAGTAGTACACTAAATATATTACAAATTTGATTATGTAATGCAAGTTGAAGGGAAAAGGAAAATGTAGATCGTATGAAGAGTGGCAAGTGAAATAACAAAACATAGACATAAAATTACATTATATACGACAATGTAAAAACATGATAGTGCAATGTGAAGTGTTTCTATCACTTGTCCTCACAAAGTCCAATAGAATAGGACACGCGATATCATTTATTTCATTGATGTACAGAAATATTCATAAGTTTTGAAGTACTTTGTTAATAACTCCGTTCTCTTTAAATGCAACATTGGACCTTTTACACTATTCACATTTGTATTTTGACTCTATTTTTATTTATTAATGTACTATAAATTAAATTTTAAAAAAAATGCTAAATTCCTCTCATTTTCAATTTTCAAAATATAAACCTTTTAAATTCTTACTAATAAGGAATGAAAAATATTAATGATCAAACTTTTTCATTGGCAAACGTGAAAAGTGGACCATTGCTGTTAAACGTTAAAATTACTGCTCCCTATCATTCCAACTTTCTACTTAATCTCTTAATTTAAATTTGGAAGAAGCACCAAAACTGACACTAAAGGTTTTAATGAATCTCAAATCAGCCACTCAGGTTTTTTTTAAAGGGAGATATTTAATTAATATTAATCAAATCGTTGGCCAAAGCCAATACAATAAAATCAGGAGGAAAATCAACCCAAGACTGCAAACCAGACACAGAACAAGCCGCCCTAGCTAACATATGAGCTGGCTTATTCGCTGATCGTCTCACATGACAAAATGAAATGAACGAAAATGAATCCGCTATATCTTTAATGTCGTCTCTTAGAAGTCCCACCAAAGAGCAACTAGACCCTCCTTGGATCTCCGCAATTGCCCCCGCCGCATCAGATTCAACTTCTACAAAGGTGATACCAAACTCCTTCAACCAGCTCAACGCCCCCCTGATGCCTACGAGTTCGGCACCCAACACTGACATAACTCCAGGCCACAATTTTGAAGCCCCTGCCACAAACTGCCCGTCCGAGTTCCTCAAGCACCATCCTAGCCCGCACCGGTCTGCCCTCGTCGCCGCATCCACATTCAGCTTCCACCTACCCAGTTCCGGTTTATTCCAAGTATTCGCACCAGCGAACAGTCCTGCACCCTTCTTCCCCTGCGGGTTTGCAGCTGCGCCTGCTGCCAACCCTCAATCAGCCCCCGTCCTTGGTAAGCCACCTGGTCCGCCGAAGCCTCCGTCCCCTTCCAAACTCTTTGGTTTCTCTCTGTCCACAATGACCAACAGCCCCCAATGAGAAGCACCAGATCCGTCGTCCTCCTCCTCCGGAATTCCTCTTCAATCTGCTCCAAGAAGTTCAGTCCCTCCATCGAGCTCCACTGTCAATGCAACGCTGCCCAAAGGTCTTTAGCAACCGGGCGGTCCTGAATAAGTGTTCAAGAGTTTCAGGCCCTGCACCGCACAATCCACACAGATCCGAGCAAGCAACTCTTCGAACCTGCAAATTAAGCCTTGAAGGGAGACAACCACTGCAAACCTGCCAAAAAAACATTTTAATTTTAGGTGGAATATTCAAATTCCACATGGACGTCCAGGTCAACCCCGTCTGGTTTCCGAACTCCCCCCTCAACCGTCTATAACAGCTCCTAACCGAGAATTGTCCACTGTCCTCCCATCTCTAGCATATCGAGTCCGCAATATGAGACCTCCTCAGCGGAATACCCTTTATAAGGACCGCATCTCTATCTTCAAAAATGTCATCAATAATATCTGTATCCCACTCTCTCTGATCAGTACAGAAAAGATTTGCCACAATAGCCTCCTTTAAATGTTCATGTTTTTCTGAGATGACCCGAGGATTCTCCCTGTCCGGTAGCCAAGGCTCCTCCGATCCCAAATATTGATAGAATGCCCGTCACCTACTCTCCAGCAATACCCCTCCCGTATAACATCCTGTGTATGAATTAGGCTTCGCCAGATAAAAGACGGGTTATTCCCTGGTTTAGCAGACAAAAAATTTCCTTTGGGGTAGTAGCGAGCTTTAAAAACTCTCCCCACGAGAGATTCAGGCTTAGTAAAAAGTCTCCAGGCCTGCTTTGCGAGCATTGCAATATTAAAGTCCCGGGGCCTCTTAAAACCCAAGCCGCCAACTTTTTTAGGAACACTAAGGGCTGCACAATCCTTGAAATGAATTCCCGTACCCGTCTTACCTTTCCACCAATAAACATTCATCAAGGTTTCGATCTCCCGGCAAAGGTCAACAGGTAAAAGGAAAACATTCATAGAATAAGTAGGCATGGCCTGAATTTATTATTCCCTACCCCAAATATTATTCATAGAACTTCCCTACCCGCTTTAGACAAAAATTTATTATTCCAATTATTAATATGGGTAACAACTCTTTGTATGAGATAACTCAAAACATTTTTCCGGTTCCGTCCTACAAGAGCTGGTAACCCCAAATATCTCTCATCCTCACCAGCCAGTCCGACTCCCAGTAAATCAACAAGACCCGCCCGGTAATCAGTCGTCACAATAGAGCTAAAAAACACCTTTGATTTATTTAAGTTGATTACCTGACCAGATGCACCCTCATAATCAACCAAACTCTCTTTCACCAAAGAAGCTTCATCATGATTGGCTCGGAAAAATAACAAACTATCATCTGCAAAAAATAAATGAGAAATCATAGGAGCTCCCCGAGCAATAGAAACACCGTGCAACCTGCCCATTTGCTCATATCTGCGTAATAAGGCACTAAGACCTTCAGCCACAAGAAGGAAAAGATATGGGGAGAGAGGATCCCCCTGGCGTATTTCCCTCCCCGGCGCAGCCAGATCAATCGTTCCTTCATCAAAAGGAATAGAATAACTGACAGAGGTCACACATTCCATGATCAATCCTACCCACTTCTCATCAAAGCCTAAGCTTCTAATCAAAGCCTAAGCTTCTCATCATCCCCTCCAAAAAAGCCATTCCACACGGTCATAGGCCTTACTCATGTCAAGTTTGAGACCAACAAAACCAACCTTCCCTTGTCGTTTGCATTTTAGAAAATGTTGGGACTCAAAGGCCAGCATGATATTATCAACAATGTATCTACCCGGAATAAATGCACTTTGTTGTTCAGAGATACACATGTGTAAGATATTTTTCATACGATTAGCCAGCATTTTGGAAAAAATTTTATATAGGACATTGCAGAGTGCAATTGGCCTCCATTCACTTATACTCTCCGGGTTCTCATTTTTGGGAATAAGCACTATATGAGTATGATTAATATGAGCTGGGAGCTTACCTGTCTCAAACGTGTGTTTACAAAAATTAACTATGTCAGGTTCCACCATATCCCAGAAGTGCTGATAAAAACCCGGACTGAACCCGTCCGGCCCTGGAGATTTGTCAGGGAACATATCAAAAGCTGCTTGTTTGACCTCCTCACTACAGACTGGGCCCAGAAGATCAGAATTATGCCGAGTATTCAATTGCCGTTGTACACAACCCAAAACAAAGTCAGCCCTGCCGTCTCGTGCAGTAAAAAGATGATTAAAGTAATCCCCAATTAACCTGCCAACCTCGTTTCGATCCGTTTCCCATCGGCCGCCCGCCGCCCGAAGACCTGTCATCTTGTTCCTGCGTCTTCTACTTTTGACAGAATTATGAAAAAAGCGAGTATTTAGGTCCCCTCCCTGGAGCCAGAACTCCTTCGCTCTCTGTCTCCAATACACATTTTTCTTTTCAAGTAAATCAAGATATTCCTTCTTGACTTTATTAAATTCGTTTACCCCCATGGGTCCCACCGTCTTCGGAGAAAGGCCATTCTCTTCTTACAGAAGGAAATGTGTTTCCCATACGAACCTGCTTTGTTATGACCCCACTCTCTGACCGCTCTGCCACAGGAAGAGATCTGGCCCATTATGCCAAGATCACGGCCTAGACCCCAGCTTCGAGCAACAATTTCTCAGCAATCAGACTCTCTCAACCAGACATTTTCAAATTTAAAATTACGTCTCCTTTGAAATCTTTGCGTCGGGATAAGTTTGATAAAAAGAATCATATGATCACTAGGAGCCCCCTCAAGAGATTCAGTAGAAGCCTCCCCAAAGATATCAAGCCAGCTTTCGGAGACAAGAATCCTATCCAGTTTTTCCTCAACCCAATTTTGTGTTCCTCTCCATCGTTCCCAGGTAAATTGATACCCCGTGAAAGAGAAATTCCTCAACCCGCTAGCCCACACTGTTTCCAGAATCCACGGAGCAACCACGGCGGATGATCCACCCGACCTCTCTTCTCCGAAGCGAACATCAAATCATTGAAATCACCCATAACAAGCCACGGTCTATCAGTACCCTGACTCAAAGATTTGAGGATATTCCAGGACTCCTTCCTCCTTGGACGTTCCGGGCAACCATAAAAACCCGTAAACCGCCAACTAGGAGCTCCCTCTTCAAGTTGAATGCTCGTGTCA